AAGATTTTTTATGATTATTACGCCTTGTATGCTTGTTGTATCTTGTCCCTTTTTCTGCAGCAAAATCCTTGCGTTGGAGAGAAACAGTTTTAATTCTTTTCTATGTTTGTTTGAAGAAGAATGGGCAAAATCCATCAAAATCATATTCTGTATATTAGGAGTGATTGCTGATTATAGAACATTTGAACATAAACTTGTTGGAGCTAACTTCCTTATATGGGCATTTGTTCTGACCGTGTTAGCTTGGCGCCATCACAGGGGCTGTGAAGATGCTGTAGTTCCCCACGAATGAAGGAATCTGATTGGTCATTCTGTTTATGGCTTATATCTGGATTTGCAAAGACAGTATAAAAACTCCAGGATCACAGAGAACACTAAACCACAGATGTGGTTCCTGGGCTAGAGGGGTTTACTTTTCAATGTAAGTCATTTGGAGCCAGAGCGAGTTGGAGCAAAACTTTGTCCAAGAGCACATCCCTTGGGCTTCATTGAGCTAGATGGTTAGCACGGTCCATCTGTATACGGGGGGCCTAAACTTTCACATACCACCGTATCTCAGCTAATTATAAATGATTGAGCCGATTCCAAATCAGCCTAAACATCAAGCAGTGACTTTCCGGCGGAGTAGCCATGTTTGTTTTCCTGGCGTCTGATACAGGTTAGGGGGGTGAGGGGGTGAGAGGGGAGAGGGGAGAGGGGGAGAGGGGAGAGGGGGAGAGGGGCGGCTGGTGGATTTCACGTCCCACTTCCTCTAACGGGGCGATTAGGCCAGACGTCTGTCACACACTGTTCCTCTCTGCTCTGTCTGCCAGAGAACACACTTAAGACCTTGAGCTGAGGGGACAGGCTCTGGCCTGTCACACTGCGACTGTGTGTACATTAAGAATATATCATTATTGATGCAGATCACAAATGTAACTTTGGTATAAAATACAAAAGTAGATGTGTACACACTTCTCTTGCAAAAGAGTAAACAGTATTTTATGCTTTTTCTTTATGAAGCTAAAGATGGAGATTTTATTTCATCTAAATTTTGTTGACTTGCTCATCGGTGGCTCAGTCGGTAGAGAATTGGCCTTTAAGCCTACAGGTTGTGGGTTCGAACCCACTACGAGACCTTGTCCAAATCCTACTGATGTCTTCTGTCCTTCGGCAAGACGCTTAACCCCACTCTGTCTGAAGCCCCTGCAGGAGGATCAGTGAGGGGCCGGTGCTCTGTGAACTGGGTGCAGCTCATCTGCATTATTGTGGGTAAATTCCCATTTAGAAGTATTATTAAAAAAGTTAAGATCTGGTTTAGCACTTTAAACCCAGACGGTTAGACCTGGTTCAGTTCTATAGTGGTTTAAAGGACCTCTTAAATTCTTGGGTGGTACTTTGTTTAAAGATACATTTTTGTAATAATATTTGGTGGAAAATAAGGCAAAGTAAAACCAAAGCATGTGTGTGAAAGCTCGTAAACACATCCACACTGCAGAGTGCTCGCTCAGGGGCCGTCACTTTGAGCTCTGTCAGCGGGTCCAGTGGGAGAGCAGACATTTCTGACACTCAGCAACACCCACAGAGCCAGAGGCACCCGGGTTCACACCACTCCATCTGACCCACATCTTCATATCACAGCGTATTAACAGACTCTTGACTGTTATGGTCATCTTTAAGACTTAAAGAGCAAAATTATAGGTAACTATCATAGGCTGTAGCACAGGGGCATATTGACCTATTGTGGAGCCTCAGACCCATTTTAACATGGTTACTATCGAAATTCATTTGACAACACATACAGTGAGTGCAATTTTCAGTGATCGCTAGTTCAGTTATAAACAGTTATTTTGTGAAACTAAAAATTTAAAATAGGAAAACACAGACAAAAGGCCTGATATTTTCTTTGTCGTTTGTTCATAAATCTTTAGCATATGTGGCCATTTTGTTTTTGAGCAAATTCTTAATTTTTTAATGATGGATTTCAATTCTGGGGGCGACAGTAGCTCAGTTGGTAGAGCATTGGCCTTTGAGCCTGAAGGTCGTGGGTTCAAGCCCACCGTAAGACCTACTTCACGACTCCCACTGATGACTGCTGTCGTTGTGTCCTTAGGCAAGACACTTAACCCCACTTTGCCTGAAGCCCCCACTGAAAGATCTCAGCTCCTGTGGACTCACCACCTGCAGGAGGATCAGTGAGAGGCTGGTGCTCTGTGAACTGGGTGGCATCTCTGGCCACCCCCCCGACCCAGAAATGGATTAAGGGGAAGAAAATGGATGGATGGATGGATTTCAATTCTTATTTGGATTGAAGCTAAACTGGATCCAAAGTGAAGAAAGCAGAGTAGTAGACAAGATCAGTGTTCCAACATTTTTTAGTGTGGCACCTTTCCCATTGAAAACAATCACATGGCACACCACCTATTGCAACTGCAAAGTCATTCTCAAAGTGCCAAAACAAAGTTTTTTTCTTCTCAAAAATAGCTGATATTGGATCATTTCCAAAGGCACACAAACATGCCACGACACTGGTTGAAAAACAGACTAGAATAATTCTGACAAATTATAACTGGGAAGTGTCCAGGGGCCTCATAGAAATGTGAATTAAGCTTCAAGAGGATCCTCACCCATCTCCGCTCTGTGGTCAGCCCCACCCTGGCAGACCGACCACAGTACGTGCGGCTGCGCAGCTGTGAGTCTGAGGTGGTAGTCTGCAGCACTGGGGCCCCTCAGGGCACTGTCCTCTCACCGTTTCTCTTCACCATCTACACTTCAGACTTCACACCTGACACACACAGCTGTCACCTGCAGAAGTTCTCCGACGACTCCGCCATCGTGGGCTGTGTGTCTGAGGGGAACGATCTGGAGACTGGTCGGGTATCACAGACTTTGTCGACTGGTATGAGCGCAACCACTTGTGCTTGAACACCAGTAAGACCAAGGAGTTGGTTACTCGACTTCAGGAGAAAACCACTTTCCCACACGCCGCTGAACATCCAGGGGGAGGACATTGAGCTGGTGGACAGCTTCAAGTACCTGGGTGTTCACATTAACAATAAACTGGACTGGTCCCATAATACAAACGCTCTGTACAAGAAGGGCCAAAGTCGCCTCTTCCTTCTGAGGAGGCTGAGGTCCTTCGGAGTGAGCAGGCCTCTGCTCAGGACTTATGACTCTGTGGTAGCCTCTGCCATAACTTGCCACTGTTTCTTAATTGCCACTTTTATGTCCATTCAAAATACAATTGTGCTTTCAAACCAAAATAATATCCTTCTCATCAAAATGTGCTGAGCTGAAGAAATGGTACACAACTTAAAACATATTGGAAGAAAGGGTACTGTAGTGTGAAACTTTATTTATTACTTTTGCATAAGGACAATGCAGACACACAGTTTGGTTTCCTAGGCGAATATCATGATTTACTTTTATTAAAAGCATCATAGCTACAATTCATCATACATGATGTCTCAAAAAAACAAAACAAAAGACACACACCAAAAAAATAAAGAGGAAAAACATTTACATGGTATGTCTGTAAACTTCAAGGCTAGATAAGAATTTTGAGGTAATGCTCTTCAGCTTGCTGGCTAAAAGTAACAAAAAGTCCATTTTCAAGAAAAGTAGCTAAGTAATAAAGGTACCTGATTATTTTAACTCTTTAACACCAGTGCATCAACAGGAACAGAGTGAGACAAACTTGATTGCAGTACATATCTGTCACTTACAGTTTTCTCTATTCAAACGACACTTGTGGTTATTCATATAGTGTGTGGCATGTGTGGGTGAGTGATGTTGGACATTCAAAAGCTGCCTTGGTTATTGCCGTCTCAGCATCAGCAGAAGGGGCGTTCGACAGTGAAGGTGACCCCCCCCCACACTGCGCCGTACGCCCAGAGAAGCTGGGCGAGTCGGCTTTACCGCTGGAGCAAGTGTAGTAGACCTGGCCAACAGTGAATGTACTTCCAAACGTGTGAACCTCTCGAGGCGCTCAGGAATGGGCATGAAACAACTCAAGCACCCCCCTCTGTGCTTTTCAAGTATTTCAAATGGACTGAAATGTGTGTGCTGTGGGGCCAGGCCAGAGTCAGTGTGTTTGACTAGAGCAAAAGTTCATTGAGAACAAACCAGGGAGCAGCACTTGGTCTGAAACTATTGGCAAAATGTGAGGCAAAAATAACAAAAACAATGTGGCAGCGTGTGGGAGTTTAGTCAGCTGATGCGCCTCGTTATACAAGAGTCATCGACCTGAAAGGCCACTGCTCAGGTCTTTTCACCGGGAACTCTCAGTATTCGGCACAAATTTGGGCCGTGAAGACCTGTCCTAGGCTTTTCTACAGAGGGACTGGACCAGGCAGCAGAGATACAGAGATCAACAGTGTGGGACTGACAGTACTGAGTCTAGGAACAGTCTAACCAAGGGTCTGTTTTAGTGTGCACGGATGAGCTCATGTACAGGCAGTGAGCGAGACTGGCCGTTTACTGGATATGTGAACTTAAAACAGAAAAAAAATACAAATCAACCATTACATTTTCCTTCGCAGCAGCTTTGTCAGACAGGTTAGCTGGATAATAATGCCATTTAAGAAGCACTGATTCAAGAGACGCTGCCAGCAACAAACAATCCTGAAAAAGAAGGAATTGAAACTAAAGAGAACCATGGTTTGAGAGCTGAAAGCAGCAATAATAATAATAATAATAACAACAACAATAGTACTAGTGGAGCCTGGTGAGTCCTACTGAGATGGTGGGAGAGTGGGCATGAAGGTCTCGACCAGAAAAATAGAAACAGTCTTTGTGAGGATTTTCCCTGACTAAACTATCGCTCAGAGAGACGTAACACCACTGCCTCTCTGACACATAGCAAATACACCTGGCCCAGAAAACAAACTGAAAAATTCAACAACAATTTAAAGAAAAATAAAACTGAAAAAACAAAAGTCAGTCGTTAATAGTTTGGATATTTCTGCTGGAGGCGTGTAAACGTGGCGAGGTCTGAGGCGAGGAAATGTTGAAGGCCAGTTTCAGTCACTTTTGTCCTTCTGTGGAGAATCCACAGCTTCCTCCTCCTCCTCTTCCTCCTCCTCTGCCTCTGCCGCCACCCCTTCGTCCAGCAGAGAATCTTGAGTTGCGTCCAGTTCTTCTTCCTTTCGTCCCACATCCTTTTCCAACTTTTTCTCCTCGCTTTGGGATTCAGAGGTTCCTGCGGTGCCTCCGAGGGCCCCGGCCATGGCAGTCTGCAGCTCAGCCAGAGTGGAGGCGGAGGGGAAGCCCGGCATGAGCCCACCCAGCCCTGGAGGCAAGAACATGGAGGGGTAGAGCAGTCCTGGGGCGACGGTGGAAAGCAGGAAGGGGTTAAAGGCCAGAGAGTTAGCAGACATCCCAGCGGCGGCCAGCAGGGCGGCGGCGTCACCATTGAGCGCGATGTTGGAAGCAGACTCTCTGGCGGAGGAGGCCTGTGCGGCTGCTTCGTCTTCAGGTTTATCTGGATTCTCCGCTGATGCATCAGACTCCACCTTCTTCCTCTTTGCGCTGGGCTCACCGTCCTCTGTGCCATCCGCCGCCTCCTCGTCTTCATCGTGCTTCTCTCCCTCATCAGATGTGCCGTTGGTAGTGGCTGAAGCGGCGGCGGCTGATGTGCTGGAAGTGGCAGCAGAAGGGGCAACGGCGAGATTGCCACCAAACAAACCTCCCAGGCTGAACATGTTGGGCAGAGCAGCCATGTTGGCGAGGCCGCCCACTCCCGGCATCATGAGGGGGAGCATGGCGGCCGCCTGCTTGGGGTCAGCGGAGGGGAAGGCCATGAGTCCAGCGGCCAACTGTAGAGACTGGAGGCTCTGGAGAGAAGACAGGTCCATGCCACCAAACAGACTGTTGAGCAGCAGAGGGTTGATGCCTCCTGAAACAACACACAGACTTTATTTCAAGCAGAGATGATGACGTTGTACTAGACCAAACAGTAAGAACACCTCTGTTAACAGCACAAGTCTAGACAGATTTACTAAAATATTTAGAGCTAACGCAAGTCTAAAACAGAGGTCTAAAAGGGTTAAAGAAATCAGGAATAAATAAGGAATGCCTTGGGTGAAAACAACCCTAATACAGACGAAAGACAGATTCATATTACACTGGGTTTCTGGGTTTAAGGATTGCAGTAGCTTAAGAGATTTTGTAATTAGTCATTAATGTTTATTAGTAGATTCTAATGGAACTCATTAACCCTCGCTGCAAAGGCAGCAGAATTGCTGAATCCAGGACTCTTTTACAGAGACAAGGCATTCAACGACCAACCTAGAATTTTTTTAATTTTTTTATTTTTTTATTGATTTGAGTAGTCTTCCCTCTCTTCAAAAGATTCCAGGCTCCACCTTTTTTCTATTTCACACCAAATTTATGAAGAAAAAGGGCACCTAGTAGTCAATACTGTAAATTAATGAGTTTTCCTACAGAACCACAAGCACATACAGTCAAGTTGTGTGTTATTTTCTCAGACTTGCAGGAGAAAGGGTTGAGGAGTGAGATGAGGTACTGTTCTCTACCTGAAGAGGACGCTGCTGAGGCCAGCGAGGCCTGAGCGGCTTGAGCTGCAGCCACTTGTGCTGCTGCTGCTGCTTTAGCTATCTCAGATTTGGGACGACGGCCTCTTCGTCTGACGCCCTCCTCTCGCACCACTGGGCCGGTCAGGAGCCGGTCAAACATGGCCTCAGGGAGAAAACCCTGGATGTATGAAAGAACTGGGTTAGAAAGTGTTCATACATCAACAATACACTACAAAAGCAAGAGAAGTACTTACAGACTGTTTGACAATGTCTGTCCAATCAGGGGCAATAGAAAACTCAGGGTTCTCCAGCAGCCATCTGGAGAGCTCCTTCATAGGGGGAGCCATAGCACCACCCATCTGTGCAACCAGAGAAACCATGAGTGACCAGTGTTTAAAGTGGAATAATGCATCGCAGTTAAAAGATGTATGATTATCAATACTGTCACATGCACTTGCCTTGCGTCCATTGCGTCTGTTGACCACAGGCACCCGCTCTTCTCCGGTCAGGGTGTTTATGTCGATCTTGTTCGGGTTTCTACAGCGATGGCGTTTCTGCTTGGGCTTTGAGAACTGAGACAGGAGCATTTCCGCATCAGTTTTCTGGAGCAAAACAAGAAATGTGTTTTTTAACCAATTCAAAATAGCAGCAGGCCATTGATCCAAATGAGAAGACTTACTGGTGCGAATCCTGACATGTCCATAGCAAAGGAAGGGTTCTGTCGCAGCCAGTCGCCAAGGTCTTTGTTGGACACTGCAGCCTCTTCGTCGTCCAGGCTTCCAGAGGCCAGAGAGCGGCCGCTCGGGCTCTGGTCCGGCACAGCGATGAGTTTGCTGGCAGCCTCCACATTGGCCACCTTTACCGTCTCTGCCTCATCCTAAGAATAGATAAAGCATTTTTAGAGAACATTGAAAGACTGAGACTAGAATACATGGTTGGATCGAGACAAGATTTTCATGTTGATTTTAAAAAACACTTTTTGACTCATGATTCAGTTTCTTTGGATCAATAAATAAATCTTATACATTTTAATTTTCAAAAGGCCTTTTCAACATGTTAACGACTGATTCACATTAATACATTTCTGCCTTCAGTCTAGCCAAGGAAGTGTATAATATAATTGCCCCTTGAAGCCTACAAAAAAGAACTTTTCTTCTTTTTATAATCGACATATGTTGAACTTTATCAAATCAGCAAACTCACAATATGCCTTATCCAATGACTTCAGTTTAAATCACTAACAAATAGGACAACCAATCTTTTGCTTATAGGACATTGTTCCACTCACCCCTGAAGGCCTCTTGTTTCCCATAAACATCATATCCAGAGTCTCCACATTTTTCCTGCGTCCACGCCTCCTCCTCATCATCAGAGGGAGGTCCAGGTCCATGGAGCCGTTGGCCATGTGTCCCGTGGAGGAGGCCTGCAGGAGGTCCATCTGAGCCTTGAGAGAGGGGCTCAGGCCACTGGAGAAACTGCCCATAGAGGGGGAGGCTTTGTGGTGCATGCTCTGGAAACAAAAAGGTAAAGTTTTTTGACTTTTGATGGATTAGAAGACAAGAAAGTATTTACCCCTATCTTTATGTTTTTTAGAACATATTTGGTCAATTTATTATAAAAAGTGCCTTTTTTTATCCAAGTGAACATGATTGACTGAGCTAAAGTAAACTGTGGTTTATCACTCTCTGATCCTGGTGTTTATATTTTGATATAGGAATTGACCAATCAGATGCCTTCATATGCAGGGGAAACTCCTTAGCAACAAGACATTATGGCGCAAAGCTAACCCTGTGGGAACAAATGCCCATATAAGGAAAAAAAAATCCATCAAACTTATGTTCAAACCTGCTTCTACTACACTCTGCCAACAGCACTCTGTCAGTCCACTCCTAATATACGGTCTACACAATATGTTTTGTTATCAAATAGGTTATGTAGAATAATATCTGACAAAGAAGTCAGTCGTGGGAATGGGAATCTGCAACAATATTGAGGCTTAATTATATTGAGTGCTAATAGCTAAAGTTTGCAACACTAGTCTCTAGGATGGGCAACAATGTTTGTGTGCACCATAATGACCCGTACCTTGGTCAGGTCCATGGCCTGGCTCTGAGCGTCTGCGGTGGTGTGACTCTCTCGGAGCTGAGCCACCATCTCCATCAAGTTCCTCCTCTTCGCTGCTCGCTCCGCCTCAATCTCGATTTTCCTCCTCCTGCGGCGCCGCTGTTTGGGAACTCCGAGGCCGAGCGTGTCCTCCTGCAGAAGAGGGACACGTGTCACAGGTGTGGACTGTGTGTGAATGTGCGGGACAATATCCACAAAATGTACACCGGAATGACAATCTGTTCATTAACATGTTCAGACATATTAAACTATACATGCTCCAGGGATCCTTAATACCCCTGTTTCACAATAAACCCATTAACACCAGACACACAGGCAAACATGATGTACATTTTAAATAGTTAATTAAAAATATGAATGCTTTTGAATACTCATGTCCGGTGTTTTGCCCCAGATACACATAACATGACGCTGGGTTTGCATCATTTATAAAATGGTGTTGAATAAAACATTGAATAAAATCAAATTGTATGTTACTGATTTACATGCAGTGTTCACTCCAACAGGTTAGGCAACTTGAACTTTCATCGTGGAATTTTATTAAAATGTTTATGAAAAGAAATAGACTGAGAAGCATTAGCAGTAATAAAGACCGCTGAAACACTGTTAAAAGCTTATATAGACACATTATACACAGAAGTCTCCCTTACCAACTTTGAAACCACAAAAACTATGCAATACATTTAACGTAACCAATTCCTAGCCAGGGTTAGGTTCCAACACTGGCATGTTGTGGTCTTATTGTTCACTAAATGTCATTCAAGACTTTCTGTTGGTGAAAACGCAATGTATTTATAAATCCAAAAAGTTACTCCAGCTTTAATGATTAAATGGCGAGGTGCTGTGGCACCATTGTAAAGTAAAACTCTTGACACGTACATGCACTTGTGGAGACAGTGTGGGGTCCTCGCTCCCGCTGAAGCCTGTGTGGAGCCCGGCCATCGCCAGCTCGGCCAAGCTTCGGCGCTGCTCCATCCCCGCAGCGACAGACGCGGTGGAGACGATAGATGAGCCGTGTCCAGGCAACAGGTTTCCATGGAAGTCAAAGATGTGGCGCCGGTTCACAGGCCACTTCCCCTTCAGCACGGCGTCGCAGATGTTGTCCATTCTGTTGATCATCACTCGGTCCTGACACATGGCACAGTTGGTGTAAGTTCCAATCTTGAAACTACATTCCATCTTATTCTTGTAGCCATCAACACAGTCTGGTTCATAGCTTCTTTAGAATACTAGAACATGAATGCAACCTATTTTCAAAGATATGTTAAAAAGATATTTTCCCAGACCATTATTTGTTTGTGATTAGATCTGCCATATTTCTCATGTCTGAAAGTCCCCTTTACTGGCCACTTCTAGACCCCTTTGTCAAAAAATGTCAACTACTATTTTCTCATAAAGAGCATGTGGAACTTTGTGTAACATGTTTCATGTGGATTGGCTCAAGAATTACAGAAAATGTGCTCTAAACTAAGACAGGTCAAACTTTTTTTCAACAATTTTATAACAAAAGCGTCTATACGACAAATTGTCTACACATTTGTACAATATGTGCAATTGTGTTGCATATTGAGAAGACTTAATATATAATGTAGGGCTGTCAAAATTATCGCGTTAACGCACGGTAATTTTTTTCATTAATCGCGTTAAAAAAATTAACGCATTTGACGCATGCCCATGCGTCCCATAATAACACTCAGAATGCCGCGGACACATGTGCGTGTGTAAGATGGGGACAGAGCAGGTAGGCCCTCTGGAATTCAAGTCTTGAAAGAATACACGCGTGACCACAGGGCACTTGTAGTTTCCTGTATGAACTCTGCATGATGAGCTGCGGGCGCCACAGCGCTCTGGACAGCAGGTCCCACTTCCAGCGGCTGTGATCACGGCGAACGGCGCTGCGTAATGGGATCTTATCCAAGACCACGCACAGAACTATTACAGAACTATTCTCTAGTGTGCGTACGTGTCTTTGCGTAACCGATGCACACAATATCTACAGCGCAGAAGCTGGACTGCGGAGCCTCAGTCTCCTCCGTGTCTTCTCCCGAAGCGCTCTCGCTAAATTAAAGCTGAGGTACCTAATTTTCCTTTTAACTACCAGTTCATGTTGGTTGTGCCAAAAAAGGTAATGGTGTGAGCAAATCAAACAGATTTAATGACATTCTGCATTTCAGACTGTTGGAAATGTCCCTCATCTGTAACAAACAATGGTTTTGGTCTGAGTCTAAACAGAAAGACAGAATGTTAATAATGTTAATTCCATTTTATATGGATTTATTGTTATAACAAACAAATACAGCACATATGTTCACTAAGCTGTCATTTATCTTTCCATTCAAACAACAATTTACAGAAAAATATGGCATAATTTTGCCAATAGTTCGAAATGTGATTAATTACGATTAATTAATTTTTAAGCGTTAATTAACTCGATTAAAAAAATTAATCGTTTGACAGCCCTAATATAATGATATAGATACTGTGAACTCTAGTAGTGGCGTAAATGGTAGAAAGAAGCAGCAAAATAGTTAACTGGGATCATGTTACTTCAGAATTATAGTCTCCGCAGTTTAAAATCTAGATTGTTTACAGTGATACGTTGTGCACGTGTTGTGTGTTTCTGTTTTGTTGTGATTCTGCTCTAGACCAAACATTTAAACGTAAACATTTATTTTCAAGTGTTGGTGTTTTTATGCAGAATTCCCGACAAGCATGAGGACTTGTGTCATCATCTTTTGGATTAACATTGCGGATAATGCAATGACCTTATAGCTTTCTCACCTTAGGCCAGAAGGAGAAGGAAAATGTGCGTTCCTGTAAGGCCTGCAGGGCTGAGGTTTCTGGGAGGTCATCTGGACAGAACCCGTCTCGAGTTTCATCTCTGGCTGTTGTGCTCAAAGATGCGATGCTCTCCTCGTCAAAGTTCTTCTGCTCGGATGCTGCGCTTGCTGTGACGGGGGAGAGAGGGGAGTCGCATTGGGTACTTAATTAAAAAAACGTTTTCAAAGAGTCATCATGGAATAAAGCTCATTTTAGTCACTAGCCTCTGGAACTTGGACTCATTAAAACACTGCCAAGTCATGAGGGGGAATCTGAAATAGGCCTGTGACTGGGAAAAGGCCAAAAGGAAAAGCTTCAGCAGCTCTGGTGGGAATCCAAAGATATTCCATGTATCCATCCATATGCATATGGATTTTTACACTAGAGGCCCCATCAAATGCAAGCCTTTACATTTCTATGCAGCTGAATTAAAACAATACAGCTGAATTGGCATAGTTTAAACAAACCGTTAAACTATGCCATAATTTTACACAGCTTGCTTCTGCATTCTTTAAAGCTTAGAACAAGTCGACTACTAGAACATAATAGCTTCATCTTTCACCATCTTACCTTCAGCCTGAGATGACTTTTCAGATTTGTCATCCTCATCCATCCTCTCCTCTTCCTCCTCCTCTGGGCTCTTCTTAGGGTCAGTCGACTTAGGGGATTTAGGGGTTGCACCTTGCACCTCAGTGACTTCCTCTTCTGGAATCTTTGTTTCAGATTGTGCTTTAGGAGGGGAAGAGGGCTGTTCCTTGATATCCGGTTGGTCTTTGAGAGCTTCTGATGGCGTCTCATTACATTTCTCTGGAGAAGATTCAGCTTTCTCCTCCTTCACCTCCGTCGTGTCCATTTGTTCAACTTCTTGTTCAGTTTTCTTTTCAGATTTTATTTCTTTGACTTCAGCTTGAGGCATTTCAGGAGCTTCAACTTTGGCGCAAGAAATGTCTGCATTTTCCTCCGTTTCCTCTTTAACTTCCTCCATAACATCATCCAGATTCAGGGCCAAGCTTGCAGCCGCTGCCGCACTTGCCAGTTCGGCCGGTGTGAGGAGGGACATAGAGCTGCCCTCCAACGCCGATTTAGCCACATCTCCTTGGGGAGCAGCGGTAAATCCGGAACCCCGGCCTGCAAAACGCTGGTGCGCTTCCAAAAAGGACAAACCGGGATCGTTGAGTATGTGGTAATCTGTTCGGCTCACTCCATGTTTAGAAGCTCCCAGCAGGAGGTCTTTGTCGTGGCGTCCGCTCTCCCACCATTCGGGCAGATCGGGAGAGGGCTGGCACAGCTTCAGGCGCTCCAGAAGCAGCGGATGGGGCAGGACTTGCTCTCGGATGCGGCGCAGAAGCTCAATGCGGTACAGGGTCCGAGAGGCGCGCTCCTCTGTGATGGGGTCAATGATCAGGCTAGGATCCGGCACTTCTGATCAACAAAAAGACACATAGTTAAATAATTACATGACCAACATAAGAGTACAACAGTACAATGTATTAAACTTACCAGTGTCCATCTTCATCCTGCAGACCCGTTTGCACATGGCGATAAAGGCGTAGTAGTATTTCTCAAGGCTGTCGTCCGTCTTCTTGTCCAGTCTGGCAATTGACCTGAACTGTGCCCAATCAAACTTCTGTTTCTCTGTGTCAAAGACAACTCCAAAAGTGGAAACAACACGATAAAAGTCTGCCTCCTCTCTCCGGGTCCATCTGGAATGAAATGAAACGAACAATTGAGCATTATAGAACTATGCAGTAAAGTGTATATCTTTTACTCAGAAACTTTGTATGGGTGAATTAAATAAGATAAGACGGGCCACATTCCCATTTGGATATTAACAGACAGGATAGAGCCAAAAAAACTGTTTTGATGAGGAAACGATCATGAGAATTTTGTTTTTAAACCTTCTTATGACAATAAATGTGTTTGAATTAAGTGCAGTGAAGTCTAAACACAGTTAAATGTCCCTCCATTGTTTTCATGTTTAGCCAATCACAGTTCCTTGTGATAACATGGCTAGGGTAAAACTTTAAATGAGCAGAAACATAATATTCAACGTTTATAGGGCATCAAACAAGAATTACCTCTGTCTCCTTTCATAATACATTGTTCCATCAGGCATCAATGGACTTGCAGACAACACCGGCGATGCATCAGGCATGAACTGCGCTCCTTTGGTGAAGTAGGCTCCTCCTTTGGTCAGGTAGGCGTTCCCGTCCGCCATAAACACCGCTGCGCCGTCTTGGAGGTATGCCCCGCCCCCTGCCTCGGACACCATGGAGATAGGGGGAATGAAATCGCGGCGGCGTCTTCTCCTGCCGTCCGGCCGGCTGAGGGCCTCCTGACGCAGAAGCTCGCGGCGGTTCGAGCGCTGGTAAGCAGTGATGAGGCGACGGAGGCGAGCGGTGAGGGCTGAAGCTGCAGGCCAGTACAGCTTCTCATTGGGCCCAGGTACCCCACTCCCAGTGGCAAGAACTTGCCCGTTTTCACCAGATTTACCTGAAGATGAAAGATGTTAGTTAATAATTGCAACAGCAGTGTTCTCAAAGCATGTCTGAAATTGTTAATTGGCCAACAGATTTTTAAAAAAGTACCAATAGAACCAATGAACACATTCATACATGTTGTTCATGACTTTAGTAAGATTATAACAAATATTACAAAGATTATAGGTTAACCTTTAAAACAGTGGTTTTCACAATAGGGATTCACAATAGGGTTCAACAGGATTTTTCACCAATTACCTAACAACAGTCAAATTACCTCAAAAACACCAATTGATTTAGCAGATTTCAACAATACAAATCTTTTACCTTCATTCTCACCGTCACCAGTGTCATCCAGTGGGGAGTTTGTGAAGTCGTCCATGTCGTCTTTAAAAGGCATACGTAAAGGTTTGTACTCAGGATCCTCGTCCTCACTGCAAAAGTTAAAATAGGTTAAATTTGATGGTTTCAAGAACATCTTACATATTCGTTCAGGTTTACATAAAATATTTCAAAAGATTAAAACAGTTTTCAACCAACTTCACTAATATCAATAAGAAAACTCATTGAAACTGCATTTTCTGCATTGACTAAACACTGCACTCTTGAAACGAGACAAATTTGCAACATATTGTGATGCCCCATTATTACTGTAGCCCACTTCTCAACTGTTCAACATTAAAAAGACCATTTGGATTTAGTTGCGTTCACTCTTGGCAACTCCAAATCTCGCCAACGCCAAAAGTAGCAGTGACAGAAGTGGACAGTGATGGGTGCCCTCTTACCCCTCGATGCCATCTGCCATCATGTCAGTGCCCCTCTGCTCGGCCGCGATCGCTTTGGCGTCTGGCATCCCCACTCGCTCCAAGAAACACAGCGCCGGGTCGGCTCTCATCGAGTTGTATTTCTCGTAGCCTGGAGACGAGAGAAACCGTGTGAAGAGAAGACTAGTACAAAAGCTGTTAATGTTCAGTAATCACCGCAATGATATTTAGATTAAAAAGGCTAAATACAGCATTAAAGCTGGGGGACTTAACATTCAAACCAAAAAAACGAACACATTTTTACATATTTATCATACATATAAGTACATGGTTGAAAAAAGGGGGTGGACACTTATTTGATTCCAACCCCATCACACATGCCACACAATAAATACTATACTTCCTTCTAAGTCGTTCCTCTCAATACAGTTTGGACCCATCTCTAATTTTCCTTTTTTTGGTTTCAGTCAGAACCTCCCATTATGTCTCACCCCAAAGAATCAAAGTGTGACTTCACGTGGCTCTTTCTTTAAAGTATTCAAAATAAATCTTGAATACTTCAAAGAAAATGGAGCGTACTTTGTTTCCTAATAAGCGCAATCTGTTGCTACTGTATTTTTAATATTTTTAATAATAAAAGATCGGTACACCAGCATTGAGTGCAGAAGTATAGTGGAACAGTCGCTCCTTTTTTAAAGTTATTTGCGGCCTATATAGCGATGCAGCCAATGCATGCATTCATTTGGGCTTGTTGCATCCCTGGGGAGCAGGAAAGAGTTTTGGACAGCTGTTGATTTCTGGCACCGACAACATAGGAAAAAAAAAGCTAGCTTATGTGTGTTTATGTGAACTTATGTGAGCAGAGAGCCAGTGGCTTTTATTCAAGCGCAAGTGTATGAGGACAACATGTACAAATGTAACTGGTGCGGTTCATATTCAGGTGCTTTTGATAGTAGAGAAAGTGCTATATATAATTGTTGACTAATGAATTGGAGGTGCCACATACACAGTCAACCATTGGTACAATCCAAATCAATCCATTTAAAATGGCAGTCTGAATAAAGTGCCATTTTACCAGACTGTAGGTATGACATTCAGTTGATTAATCTTGAAATGTATTAAATTTCTGTTCCTTTAAACAGCTCAAAATGAGTACAAAACCAACCACTTCTGGCAAAACTAATGCCTTTTTCTACACATTGTCATTCAATACACTTCAATGTTATATTTCAAACTGCAATGGAATACATACATGGTAGTCAAGCAATAAACTGAACAATTTGACATTCAGGTAATAATGTGAAGTGAAAGCATCAGTAAGATTATCCTTGAAAAGAAAGCGCCGATGCAAAGTTGTGTGTGGACAGAAGTGGTGCTAGGATGCGTTGACACCCTGGGCATCCATATTTAAATGAAGGGAGAGACAAAAACAGTGGCAGAAGGGCAGACCCCAGGAGCCAGCTGCTGACAGGCTCTGAGTTTGTGTGTGTGTGACAGAGTAACCAGCATGATGCACGTGCACGTCAAGAGCGTGCATGTGGAGAGGGGCGGGGGGAGGGTGGCGGGGCTGCAGGTGCTCATTTGTGTCGAGAAGAGAGAGAGACAGCAAAGGGGGATAAGCAAGGAACGGGGGAGGTGAGAAAGGGGGGTTAACCATGGGGGGAAATGGGAGAGTAAGAAGCGAGGGAGAAGGACAGTGTCATGGCGTCTGCGTGAGTGAGCTAGTGGGTGTTTGTCCGTTGGAGGCATTCAGGCAGAACAGATTAGACTCTGCAGGTCCTACTGGCAAAAATCGTCCAGAAGACACAGGCCAAAGGAAGATGGTGGATGAGACTGGGAGAATAATGGAAAATGCATAAAGATTTTGTGCAAAATGGAGCGGAATGGGCAGTCGAAGCTGGTGCAGTGACGTCAAAGTTATTCTATACGGAAAGATGAGCACAAACTGAAATGAAAACAAGCTGGTACACAAATTTTGTAGGGAAATAAGGTAAAAAGTCATAAGTTCATAAGTCATTACGGTAATACAACAAGTGGCTTCTCAGTTCCGGTCAAAAACATTTCTCACTAGGATTTTTTCAATGGAACTGCTCGCGTTATATAAGCACATTTTATTTTGTGGTACAAAACAAACCACAACTGCAGGTATATATGAATTGGTGTAGATTGAATACAATCACCACTATACAGAGCTAAGGTTAACTTCTGACAACAAATTGAACGCTTTTTTAAGTGAAAAAAAAAAAATCCTACATGAGCTCCTTATTCTTGGACACTTTTTATACAACAACCTTCCCAGAAACGTTTCCCTAAATATCCCTACAATGTTTTACTTTTATTTCAGTGTTATTTGAGGAATCTTCTTTCTTTTATAAAGTTTCATGAAAAAAACTCAGGCGTCTAAAGGGTTATCCCTTTTTGCTGTGGAAGTTTTGCTGTGTTAAAAGGAATTATAAGTCAATGATTCATACTTAGAAGGTTGACCAGAGGGAGAAAAAAAGGAAAGATGGGATGCAGTAAAAATACAAATGCAAAAATGCTTTCAGGGCCCAAGAATGAAAGGAAATTATGACAGTGGCCGGTAATGGAAAAAACAGAAATCTGGACAAGGAGGGGTTTTGTCATAAAAGTCGGGAGAAATTGACAGGAGGGGAGAGAAAGAGGGAGTGGAAAAAGAGGAGTGCCGCCATAACATGACCACATCATCGTGTCTTTAACCTTCTTCCTCTCCATCACATTTCAATTAGGAGAGATAGGACGCATTGTTCCTAACCTCTTCTGTCACCGGCTCACAGCACACCAAGCCCGCAGCCAAACGTTAATCATCGAGCCCTTTATAAGCCATAACTCTTGTGCCTGCCTCGTGCGTGTGCATACAGGGCAAAGTGCTGTGTGTGTGTGTGTGTGCGCGCGCATACCCACTCCACCTCAGGGGCCTCCCAAGTGAACGCGGATTATGATTAACTATGGGTGAGCCCTTTTTGTATTCTTTTCCCCTGTGTGTGTGTGTGTGTGTGTGTGTGTGTGTGTGTGTGTGTGTGTCCTAATTGAATCATAGAGGCTGGCATTGATGGAAAAATTATGACAATTAGGCCAAATTAATATGAATGAGGGTCTTCATCCACAGCCCACATGACACCCATCCTGTTGGCCTGTCGTCACACGTCAGATTTAGCACCCAAAAGGTGGGCCAACAGGGAGATTGAAGAAACTCATTTTTAAACCACGCATGCTAACTACGCCATTAAGGCAGACAATTCCCCAAATTAACACCTGTAACACCCTCCAAAAGAGCAGCCACGTACAGGCTTAAAGAGGCAAAACGTCAGGGGCAATCAATCACCGCGCTGCCACATGCCGAGCCAACCCAGCTGCAGACCAAAGTTACCACGGAAACACCAATCAACCGGTGGTAGTGGATGAAAGTAGGCGGGACCTGTTTGTGTGTTTAGAGGAGGGTGTGAGAGGTGCAAACCAAGGGGGGGCACTGACAAGTTATTGTTTTGCAGCAAAAGGGTCTCACAATGCATGAGATTACCAATTGGTGAAATGGAGGCTTGTCCACAGATGTTAAACAAATACAGTAAAAGGCAATTTGAGGGAGAGATCTACCAATTTTTTAAAGATAGTTCCAATAAGAGCAGCTATGGTTACACAGTAAGCCATTTGCTATCCAGTATTTGTATCCTTGTGTCTTCAACCAATCCGTTTTATTCAACATGCTTGGATTACATTAACAGGTCATATTTAAGTCTTCTCCAAAAAGATTTATTAAAGACTGTTTGCAGTCGTTTGCAATGTACTTAGTGATTGAAATGCTTGCAGAAATCTCCCTCAAAGCGTCTAAAATGGTGACACAGAGCTGTTGTAATTTGAGAGGATGAGCACCATAGCTTCTCTATATACAGAAGTCTTATAAGAACCATTTTGCAGTTACAGCGCATGGATTCTGATAAGAAATGCAAATCAGTAAATAATTGCTAAGCATCAAGGAGGAAAAAGGCCCTTCCTCCACAGGTTTGACTGCTCTTAAACAGTTCACAACAAAACCAGCTTTCCAAATACTCAAAAAGGATCAGGTGCCTTTCTCACCGTGTTTAAAAACGCCGATGAGCAGAGACTTGTCGGCCTCTATGTCCCACCAGTCAGCAGGGACCTCAGCGTGGAGCGGCTGAGGAATCCAGATGTCCAACTCACTACGAAGAAAATACACAGGGGATAGATTAGAACAGTTTGTGCAACATGATAAGAAAACACAATGGGGTCAAAAAGTTTCCCCAGTGAGCGGTGAAACTAAATACATTTTAGGACAAGATCAAAACTGTCTATGAGTCAAAGATGTATTTGGAGCCAATGATGTGTCACTAAATGGTAATTGTCAAGGCCTCATGTTCACTGGGCCTACAGAAGAACCTTACCTCCACCCAGTGACCTAACCCTAACCCAAATTAAGGATCAATGGCGACAGTGTGGAACTTTAAGACGTAGGAATAGTTAAGATCCAGGAAATGTGTTCAAAACCATTTATATTTTTTTGTAACAGTCAAAATACCATGAATTTTAAGAAAAATGTTAGTGCATCCTCATAAAACTGACAGTCAGTCTGGTCAATGTAATGTCAGTCTACTATCTTGGCAAGTTGACAATATGAAAACTTACAAAACACAAACTTTGACTATAGTTTAAGAAGGAAATTCAAGGATGCGGTTAAGAAGTGTATTGTTTAAAAACGTAATGCACCAGATTGGACATTTCAGACTAATTTTGTGTTTTGGAAAGTGGTAAATCCTCCATTGTGAAAAGGTGCTTGCAGTTGGTTACTGGGAGAAAACCTCACAATGGAAACAGATCGACCGAGGGTGACAGAGGAAGAGAAGGACCAGAGAAACAGTCCCTTATCTCTGCAAACAGCAGCATGCCCGGCCTTGGCACCACACCGACAGACTGGCATGCTAAATCCCCCTGGCATATGTTGGCACAACGGCAGCCCGTATGCTCACGTCTGGCACGCGGCAACACACACATACACACACATACACACACACGCGCACACGTGTACACACACACACACACACACACACACACTCATGGGCCTGTCACAGTAGCCATCGGCCGGGGTGGGGGATGGGAGACAGACCGGAGAGATCGGCATGAAGAGCACGTGCAGCCCATTATAAATGCATTCACATCTGGGTGAAAGGGTGGAGCGCGGGGGATGGGGACCTAAAGATGAGACTCAAGTGCACTGCGGTAAAAAAAAAAAGGCAAAAAAAAAAGAGCAGTGCGATGGACAGATGGCAAGAAAGTGTAGAGCAACTGAGGGGAAGGAGCAGAGGAAGACCGTCAGATCAAAGAAACGTTCAAGCGAGTATGTTTCTGTGCGAAGGGGCTGCGTGTGGAGTGGTTAAGAGTTACACAGAAAAACGACAAAAACTAACTAAATGGGTGACATTGTGATTAAAAGTGCATTTCTGTGGTATTTTCAAAGAGCTGCGTGTGTTGTGTCCGTCAGAATAAGAGAAATGTCGCCAAAGAGGCCAGTGGAACGGACCAAAATATTCCCCAGTAATAATTTATAAGACTCAATAGAAGTATCCATTTCCAGTAGTCAGTCAGAATATTTGCCTCATAAAAGGCCTTTTGCAATACCACTCAAAATAAGAGGAAAGAATCTTTTGAGACATCCTTGTTTAGAGGAAAACTGTATAGGACATAACATTTTATTATGGCTAATAATTGACCTGTATCGTGTTCATATAAAGAGGTAGGATAAAGATTATTTCAATAAACCGAACCTGGAGTCTGCTCCTTCCAAGATGCGCTCGGCCAGATCTCCAATCACTTCCTGCCTTAGATAGTACAGCATCCTCACGCGCAACAGCACCCTGAAACAAGACGAAAAGTTAATTTGCCATCACCGAATGCTCAAAAGGTCACAGATCTGGCAATTTTCCCCATCAGCAAATATGCCTCACAACATACGAGTCAGATCTGATCTTGTGACATTGAAAATAACATGGAGATCTGCTTTATCTGTAAACATTTGTCACCACATTAGTCACCAGGATGTAATGCCAATAACTCTCGAGGAGGGGAGGAGTAGCCAAGAGGGAGGAGCGGGCAATAAAAGACACTGCAATGGGACAAAAGTTAGGAGAGACTGCGAAAAAGACACAGGGGGAAGGGGAGGCCGTCATGTCATTTGCAACTCATTCTGGTGTGGGGAGTTTGTGCTTGAATGGCATCACAAGTTTAGTGGGTGCGTGCGCGTTAGCTGGCAGCCTGTGTGTGCTCATCCATCAATGTGCCAGGCCTGATTAGCCACACAACGCTGTGCTCCAGCCTAGCAGATGGCACCACATAATCACCCCCAAGTGTGTGTATGTGTGTTAGCGAGCGTCTTTCACCCACTTCCAACAGGTCTGCCAGCAGCGCACCTGGTCTGGCACGCAGCCACGCAAATGTACACAAACACAAACAAACTCCATCCTCAAGAAAAATAGTGGACGAGGAGGGAGCGCCCCTGACAACAGGCTCTGGCCAGTCTGAGATGTGACCCGATGTGACTGAAATGGCTATCGGTCCATACCGATAGAGGACACAAGCCAGTGATCCCTCAAGATAAGATGCTCTGTGTGTGTGTGTCTCAATTCTAAAAAGGGAATTGACCACAAACGGATGAGCAAAAACATAATCAAAACACAATTACATTTTCTTGGATCTATATTCTAAAACTAATGCTTTTTATGAGATTAGCAGAGAGTCCATAAGCTGTCCCATTAGCTAACATGAGTAGCAGAAGACTAGCAAGATTGGCACCTCTCTCACCTGCGAGTGACATCAAAAGAACCCAAATTCTACACCGTTTCAATATTTAAAATCCATTATTCATAATATATCAAAAGCTTTGAAACATTGTGGAAATTATAAAGCTGCATTGACAAAAAAAAAGCACCATTTTAGAGAACAGATCCATTTTCAACATCTGTCACTTCTTTATGCTGCTATATAGTGGGATAGTTATGATAAAGCTTTGCATTTTCTCAAACAAGAAATGCCCTCTGTTTTGGTTTGTTGTTTAAGTGAATGAAGTTTCATTACATTCCTTGGTATTGACTGACATTGTTAGTGGCAAAAGCTCGTCAAAAGTATAATAAATTCAAAGACAATCTCATTGAAGGTTAGGTATTGTGTACTGTGATGGAGGCCTACTTGTTGCAGTGGTGTTTCAGGTGTCTCTTGTAGCTGTCCTCCTGCAGTAGGTGATCAGGATTGCAGCTGGCAAGCCATGCCGCACGGGGCATCTGTGTGGCCGGGGCTGGGAGCTTCCCCTTTTTTCCCTTCCTGCCACGAGGGACAGGGGTAGAGAGACCTGGGGCAGGACAAGGGGAATTCATTTAGTGTAATTACAGAGCGTTGCATACACTTAAAAGGTTAAACATTTCAACCAAGGGTGTTTTAGGACCACCAAGGGGGGCAGCACGACATTATAAAGAGGAAATGTGAAGCTTTTCTGTGTCCTTTATTTGTCCCCGAGTATTGTATATTACCCTGTATCCAGTTAGAGGTTTTTCATTACCAAAAGGCACTTTAGTGACTTTTCTGTAGAAAGTGTTTTATGGAAAGTTCCAGGCAAAGCAATAACATTGAGAATAATGATTGCTCTACCAATACGATATTAACTACCCAATGCAGATTAGTCCTTTTCGACATTACAAACCAAATCTTTGTCTTCAAACTGATGAATGTAGTGCCTCTATCTGAATATTTACCTGAATGGTTTGAGAGCGTTTTGGTTGATCCATCCTCACTCGGAGTGATAAGGTCCCAGATGAAACTTTTGATGTTCTCGTCGCCACGGTAATGCAGCAGGCAATAGGCCAAAAGCGCTCGACAGATCTTCTCCACATCAGTCACTTGAAGAGGGCGCTTGAAACGGCCATGAGACAGGATATCTTCCCATCGACCCCATCTGATGAGAGACCGGTCAATGTAAAAGTGAAAATGGCGGTAAATGAGCAAGGATCTGGCAGGTGAATGGTACCAAAAATATATTAATCAAGACATTTTTTATCATTGGTTTTTCACATAATGTGCATATTTTCAGAGCAGGCCAGAATATCAAATTTACAAAATCTGTATTCTCAAAACCAGCATCTCTTTAAAGGACAACTCACCCTCAAATCCACTTTTTTTTGCTGATAAACGGTATAAATGAGTGTCCAATAGTGTTGTCTACATATCCTGGTCATAATCTTGTCACTTTGGTGCAAATTAGTTGAAAGTTAGACTTTCTGCCTAAAACCGTCTGTGAGGCGCCATCTGCTGGCGACCTGTATTACTACATTTGAATTTTGAATCTGGCGCCAACACTGGCACAGAAGTTGGACCTGACGTCTGCAAGTTGGACCTGACGTCAGCAGCCCCCCGCCCAGAGCAATGTAAACGGCCCAGTCTCGTTCACGCCCCCTTTAGTCCTCCAGGCTACGCCCATTTAGAGGAAGATTTGAACAGGAAATGTGAGTAACGTAAGCTCCTCGGAGCAGACGTCAGGTCCAACCTCTGTGCCAGTGTTGGCGCCAGATTCAAAATTCAAATGTAGTAATACAGGTCGCCAGCAGATGGCGCCTCACAGACGGTTTTAGGCAGAAAGTCTAACTTTCAACTAATTTGCACCAAAGTGACAAGATTATGACCAGGATATGTAGACAACACTATTGGACACTCATTTATACCGTTTATCAGCAAAAAAAAGTGGATTTGAGGGTGAGTTTAAAAATGGCCTCTCCTTGTAACCCCCATATAAAAAATTTTTAGGCAATTGGGGCAATGTGGAGAAACACAAACAGAATTTTGACATTTTAGAGTTCATAAGTCAATAAGATCAATAAGGAAATAAGTGTGGTTAGTGTATAATGTTATATACAGTGCCTTGCGAAAGTATTCGGCCCCCTTGAACCTTTCAACATTTCGCCACATTTCAGGCTTCAAACAAAGATATAAAAATTCAATTTTTTGTCAAGAATCAATAACAAGTGGGACACAATCGTGAAGTGGAACAAAATTTATTGGATAATTTAAACTTTTTTAACAAATAAAAAACTGAAAAGTGGGGAGTGCAATATTATTCGGCCCCCTCGCGCTAACACTTTGTAGCGCCACCTTCAATATAATTGCTTGCACAGTGCTCCTTGAGATGTTCAAAGCTTGGGAAATCTTTTTGTATCCAAATCCGGCTTTAAACTTCTCCGCAACAGTATCTCGGACGTGCCTGGTGTGTTCCTTTGTCTTCATGGTTCTCTCTGCGCTTTAAACAGAACCCTGAGACTATCAAAGAGCAGGTGCATTTATACGGAGACTTGATTACACACAGGTGCATTCTATTTATCATCATCAGTCATTTAGGACACCATTGGATCATTCAAAGATCCTCACTGAACTTCTGGAGTGAGTTTGCTGCACTGAAAGTAAAGGGGCCGAATAATAGTGCACGCCCCACTTTTCAGTTTTTTATTTGTTAAAAAAGTTGAAATTATCCAATACATTTTATACAACCTGTTGGAGTTTGCAAAAGACCTGAGACTGGGACGGAGATTTATCTTCCAACAGGACAATGATCCAAAACATAAAGCCAAATCTACAATGGAATGGTTCACAAATAGACGTATCCAGTTGTTAGAATGGCCAAGTCAAAGTTCAGACCTGAATCCAAACGAGAATCTGTGGAAAGAGCTGAAGACTGCTGTTCACAAACGCTCTCCATCCAACCTCACTGAGCTCGAGCTGTTTTGCAAGGAAGAATGGGCAAGAATTCCAATCTCTCGATGTGCAAAACTGATAGACATACCCCAAGCGACTTGCAGCTGTAATTGCAGCAAAAGGTGGCGCTACAAAGTGTTAGCGCGAGGGGGCCGAATAATATTGCACTCCCCACTTTTCAGTTTTTTATTTGTTAAAGTTTAAATTATCCAATAAATTTCGTTCCACTTCACAATTGTGTCCCACTTGTTGTTGATTTTTGACAAAAAATTAAAATTTTATATCTTTATGTTTGAAGCCTGAAATGTGGCGAAATGTTGAAAGGTTCAATACCTTTCGCAAGGCACTGTATTCCTTTTTAAGAAGAGTGTCAGAGAAATATTTGTAAAACATTGTCGACAGTAATTTATTTACAGTCTGTGGTTCAGACAGACAAACTAGAACAAGGACCTAGATTTGGTCTAATATTGATTCAATTACATCAGAAGATCTACAACAACAACTGCAATTGTGCGAATCGTATATACTCTCCAAACTGGTGATTTGAGTGTTGGTGGCAGTGTTGGTGGCAGCGTAATGAGTGCCACCCAGCCTAAAGTGGATCACAGCCAAACTCCCTTCACCATCACACCCAGGGAGCGGACCGCCCTCAAGGCTAATGATGCACTATCAGATATGTACACAGCATTCTCCTAATATATCGCACAGGAGCGTTCTCATGAGATAGTTGGAGCATTTCGAGCTTGGCCTCAAAATGGTGGGAAGCGAGAATATGGATGATGGGAAAAGACAACAGCGCAGTGGGCAGAGGGGACAGCCCCGGTCAGACAGTGTGTTTTTGTGTCCTACAGCCTCAGGCCACAAGACTAGACTGGAACAATAACAACGCTGACATCTCACTAGCACCACTGTTCTGCCCGGCACAGACACAGCCACTCAGCCATGAAAAGAGAGGACAGCGAGCTCTGGTAGTCAACAGCCCGATAGTAAACATGTCCACATATACACGGGGCTTGTGTGCATATTTAGATCTAAAGTTAAAGTAAGGATGTCAAAAGTTAACGGAATAATGACAACTAATCGATCATTGAAATGGTCAACCAATTTAGTAATCAAATACATTTTTGAACCATTCCTGAAAAGGCATTTTCAAATCATATATGGACTAGATGCAACCCTTTAGCTGCTGTAGTTGAGGGGGTACTCTGTGGGTCACAACTGATTTTAGGCTTTACGGTTAGACCAAGGTCTCCCATTTTCTTTTTGTCTTGTATGTACCCAATATTTTGCATACGATTATTACCTTATTGTCTTTTGATTATGTATGAATTATTACCAAAATTTATTCTTTTATTTAACACGTCTTTTTGATTTTTCCTGAACCAAAAGAGTACGGTACATGCTTAGACTTAAAACTGGACCAAAAGTAAGACTCATTACCTTACTTGAACTATTCAAGTAAGGTTCAAGGTTCTTAATAAAAGGTGGTTTTCTTGGGAGAATTGGCTGCAAAATGATCCATGCCATAGTGGCCCATATTAATCTCTTTCAGCGTTTTCTGAGTTTTGAAAATCATTTCAAGCACCCCATGTAATACGCCCACATACCCCTGGTTAGGAAACAGATAGATTTTGCAAAGCTCTCATAGTGTCGTTTCAGGACTGACCCATATACGAGCAAGTTCTTCTCCACTCTGAAGCACTCAGAGCGTGGGTAGCCCTGCGCCTTGTCCTGCGGTCTTCTCGGTTTGGACACAGGTTTGCTCGGTTCATCTTCGTCGCTCTCCAGCTCTGAAAACTCCATCATCTCGTCCTCTTTAACGCTGCTGAAGTGCCGCGTTTGCTTCCTCACTCGCGGTGTGTCAATCACGAGTGTATTCTGCGGACAAAAACATTATCAACATACTGTAAGCACTTTAAATACGTTTTTGGTTCATGTTTAAATAGTACACCTGCAATAACAATACAGATGGAGTCAAATCCGCCGGCTAAGTCATCATCTGTCTCAAACAATATGCAAAACACCGTCTGGTTAGCTTCTACTTAGATGCTCATTTGTACATTTCCGGCCTGTTTGGTTTCTCCTGCGAGACCAAGGAAAAACATGACATCTTTGCTACAAATCACCGTAATTGGATATTTGGCCCCTTGTTTCATTTGAGATGCTGAGAAAATTGCCGCCCAGCTCGGATATAAAGTGGCATTAATTATGTTGTCTAATGAAATACATTTTTATTGCATTAATTTGATCATTTTCTCCCCTTCTTCTCACAATTCACATTAATATGCGCAAACATGGCAGACTAGTTAGTTCCACAATTATCACAGAGAGACGCAGTCATTTTCAATTCAACTTCACAACATCGCACAATAAGAAAATCCCGGGGGAGCAGCCTTGAGTGGAGCGCATTCAGGCTCGTAGCTGGATTAAGTGTTCCAGTGGAGGGCCCTTAAAAGAGGCAGCTACAGCGCAAGGAGAAAAATTGAGAAGAAAAGGAGAGGAGGGGGCAAGAAAAGTCAAACAGTGCGTACAGATCCGGGCAAAGCTGGAAATAAAGATCTCTGTTAGCAGGAGAGTGGATGTACAATGCAAAGGCTTTAGATTGAGTTTCTGTGCGGTTTTTTTGGGGTGCACAGCCTAAGTGATATCCCTGTACCCTCAAGGCATCTGCGCTCTTAAGTGGAGCTAAGCAGCTTACTTGCACGCTCAAACCCACACACAGGAGCAAGGAAACACGGGTAATTAAGGAGGAGAGGAGATTCCCAACTGTCAATATTAATCTCTTTCGCCCCCCATACCCAGTGCGTAGCTTTCTGGTCGCCCCTTCCTTTTCTCAGTCATGAGCGATGACTAAATACCACTGATAGTGGTAGCTCCAGAAGGGGACCACCACCAGCTGTGTGTGGCGTAGGATTTATAACAGCAGCAGGTGTGCTCTGTAAACATTAATTTCTGTTTTCATGAGATTGTGATCCAATTTTAACTTTGAGAGGGAGAGGAACTACATGTGTGTCACAATAAAACAGCTGTGGTGATCAGCAAATGTACAGTAATAGTATAACTTCATTAGAAAGCTTTCTAAAAGCTTGCATGTAGGTGAGATTATGTGTATGAGTCATCTTCCCTCATGAGACAAATTTCGAGGTGTATAAATTAATGAGAACGAGAATGATTACGGAATACATATTCTGGGTGTGCACGAGGACGAGATGACTGAGCAGTCTATGAGCATAAACCTGCATGATATATTTATTAATATAGCATCCTTTTCACTGATTACCACCTATGGCACTTACTCTTCCATTCATTGCATCAAGGTCCAGTTCAGCCTTTTTAGCCCATTTTTGCCAGAAATCAGGATCCTCAAGAGAAATATCCGTTCTGTTTCCAGTTGCAACAAAGCTGGCCTGTAGACATAAGAACAATTTAATGGTTTAGGAAAATTAGGGGAATAGGTTTTTTTTAAAAATCACATTTTACAAGTGTGTTTCACCTTAGCAAAAGTCGATCCCTTGCCTTCAGATTCGATGGTGATCGTGTGTGTTCGTCTTTGTAGGATTTGGTCGATGTCTTCTTCACAAAACTTTGATCCTTCATCCTCTTCGTCCATAAGGGCTCCGTAGGCTCCTTTTCTCAACAAGTCTTCAACCTCCTTCTTGGAAAGCTGCTGGACCTACAATCAAACAAAGTGACCGTTTAGTATATATATGTTCAGATTCCATTATGAACCCATTATTGTTCATTTTTAGTATTATTGTGATTCTAGCAAAAACTGGTCAAACAATTGGCCAGTAGAGGCAGAAGCAGAACTGAAATGAAATGAAATGAAGCCCACTTTTATAGCTGGCCTAAACTATATCATTTTACAAAGTTAGCCATGCAACAACATCTTTACTGGCATTAAAAGTTCAGATGAATTCGTCTTTAGAAATGTCAATGTCAAACTAGTATCCTAGTATCCGAGCCCATGTTACATAATGACAAAATACAACAAAGAATTGTCTCATAACTTACCCCACTGTTTGCGTTTTCACGGCCGCTCATGCTCTGAAGCACAGCTTTGTCCAGTCCCAGCTTCAGACTGGCCTTGTCAAACATCTCCCTCTCGTAGCTGTTCCTGGTAATCAGACGGTAGATCTTCACCGCCTTCGACTGTCCGATACGATGACATCTCGCCTGTGCCTGAAGCAAAATGGACACACGCATAAACTTTTGGTAAGCAAAATAGAGTTTGGTTTAAACTAATTCTAAACGTAAGTTTAGAAGAAGTAAAGCTCTCAAGTGACTTAAAAAAAGTATCCTATAAAAAAAACGCACACACAAATGATGACTATGTAGTGAGGTCCACGTAGCTCGTTTCTAGCTCTTAAAACTGTTTTTTTCCATCACTAGTTTTCACATCTATGGATCAGCTTCGAGTACCGGGCCTCCCTCAGCCAATCAGTTCTCAGTAATATACAAAAGAAAATGTTCTCTAATAGGATTAGGACATCATCTTGTGGTCTGATTCATTCACAAAATCTTACTTCAAGAGGCTGTTGAAACAAAAAAGTTGGGCACTCCAGCTTTACCTGCTAAACTTGTGTTTCTCACCTGGAGGTCATTCTGTGGGTTCCAGTCAGAGTCAAAGATGATACAGGTGTCTGCAGCAGTGAGGTTGATGCCCAAGCCTCCAGCTCTTGTACACAGCAGGAACACAAATCGATCGGAGTCTGGTCGTGAGAAACGATCGATCGCAGCCTGACGGAGATTTCCACGAACTCTACCGTCTATTCTTTCATATGGATATCTAAGAAGTCAAACGAGAAATCATAACTAATCAATCAAGGTAAATGCAAAGAAAATTATAACTATTGCAAGTGTCACAGACCTTCTTATAAACGTTCATAATAACTAACATACATTCTAAAACCATCACATTTGCACCCGCTTCCAGGGTACATCCCAACTGAAGTTGATGTTTACCGTCTCTGGATGAGGTAGTCCTCCAGGATGTCGAGACAGCGGACCATCTGACTGAAGACCAGGACCCTGTGGCCTCCTGCTTTCAGTTTGGGGAGAAGTTTGTCAATGAGAACCAGTTTGCCAGCAGCCTGGATCATGGCCTGAAGGGCCATTTCCGGCATGTCCGCACTGTGACTCTCCCTGAATTCCTCTGCAATCTTCTCTTCAGCTCCTACAAACACACACACATCATGTTTACAGTTACACAATTACTACATGCATTTAATAACCAGAGGGATTTAACATTTCAATGGTTAAATGCCTTTATCGCCCTGTCATTGAAATTTTATATTAGGTAAAATAATCAGCTTAGCAAAAACAAGGATGAGTCCAAGTTGAAACTGATCCTCTTTAAAACATACAATGTGCTGTTTGCATCAAGACATTGTTTCAGCAAAGTGCTTCTGCTTCACAAGTTCATTCTAGTGTCCTAATATTTGCTATAATAAAAAGTTGATCCCATCCACACTGTAGAAGTGATGTAGTATAATATCAGTTAGATCTGGAGCGCAATGGGGACTGTACAGTAAATACAAAAAAGTCATAATTCTTGTAAAAATGTCAACTTACAAAAAAAGTACAATGATTCTAACTCTGTGGTAAGACCATTTCATTGAGTGAGTCCAGTTTTAACCCAAAGACTTGATAAAATCAGTCCTGTTCCATTCATTTTTTAAATTGTTTTCATTTACAACAATTAGAATTCATTTTGAAATTATTTAGTCAATTTTAAGACAGTTTTGCCTTCTGGTTGCTCTCAAAACTCAAAATATTTTGTGAGCTGATACTTTGCGTGAATTAGCAAGTTCCATTTTGATCATCTGCGCCGTCACTGGGTTTGTCACACTTGAAGATCATTATAAATGATAAGATATGCACCATTGATGAGGTAGGGGTGGTTGCAGCACTTCCTCAGCTCCATCATGGTGTTGAGCAGATTTGGGACATTGGCACTTCCACCTCCTCCTCCACCGCTGCTGCTGCCCCCTGCTCCGCCTTTGGACAGGAAGGAAAAGTTCTTCTCCAAAATGGCCCGATAGTACTTCTTTTGGATGTTTGTGAGCTCAACCTGAAACAAAAATCAGGAAACGCGTTTAATACAATACTACAAAATCATGTGCATTATTTTTCTTTACCTCTATGATGGTTTCTTCTTTTGGGGCAAGATTTTTCTCTACGTCCTCTTTCAGTCGTCTCAGCATCATAGGTTTTAGGATTCCTTGCAATTTTTGAACCTAAACACAAATAGAGTGTTGGTCATAAACAAGAGATCAGTATATAGTTCCAGTGGAATACAAACATCTGCAGTACTTATGTGAAGGAGTCACTATAATATGTGACTCACCCCTAATCACATTGAAACAAGTCCTGTGTATTACCAAACACTCGTATCAGCCCTCTCTGTTCACATAAACACATCAGGAAGCAGGAATGTGTGGTACGTCATCAGCTCTGGATATCAACCGCTGATAGCTGTGTCCAATTTGTTTTCATAACAAAATAAAATCTATATATTGGACACACTGTTGCAGAGTTCAAAGACATGGAAATGAGTAGCGGCTTTTACGGTAAGTCAAATCACAATATTGACAAATTACGTAAGGGACAATGTATCGTACACAGGTCATTATCGGAAAATAAGCACCAACAGGGCAAAGCGGACCCCGACACGCAGCGGAGGGGTCTACTTCCGCCCTGAAGGTACTTATTTTCCGATAATGACCTGTGTACGATACATTATCCCGCTTATTATACGGCTTTGTACCAACAGAACACACAAAATAAACTTCAGTCTCTGGAACTGCATGAAAACTGAACAAAGAATTCTGAACATCAGCGGTGAGTGACCCAAACAAACCTAACCTAAATCCATAATTCGATCCTCTGCAAATGTTCCTATAATCACTTTTTCTCGCATTAAAATAGTATTTTTTAGGGCTGTCAAACGATTAATTTTTTTAATCGAGTTAATTACAGCTTAAAAACTAATTAATCGTAATTAATCACATTTCAAACTATTGGCAAAATTATGCCATATTTTTCTGTAAATTGTTGTTTGAATGGAAAGATAAATGACAGCTTAGTGAACATATGTACTGTATTTGTTTGTTATAACAATAAATCCATATAAAATGGAATTAACATTACAGTATTAACATTCTGTCTTTCTGTTTAGACTCAGACCAAAACCATTGTTTGTTACAGATGAGGGACATTTCAAAATAGTCTGAAAATAGTCTGAAATGCAGAATGTCATTAAATCTGTTTGATTTGCTCACATCATTACTTTTTTTAGCACAACTAACATGAACTGATGGTCGAAAGGAAAATTAGGTACCTCAGCTTTAATTTAGCGAGAGCGCTTAGGGAGAAGACACGGAGGAGACTGAGGCTCCGCAGTCCAGCTTCACCGCTGTACATATTGTGTGCATCGGTTACGCAAAGACACGTACGCACACTAGAGAATAGTTCTGTAATAGTTCTGTGCGTGGTCTTGGATATGATCCCATTACGCAGCGCCGTTCGCCGTGATCACAGCCGCTGGAAGTGGGACCTGCTGTCCAGAGCGCTGTGGCGCCCGCAGCTCATCATGCAGAGTTCATACAGGAAACAACAAGTGCCCCGCGGTCACGCGTGTATTCTTTCAAAACTTGAATTCCCAGAGGGCCTACCTGCTCTGTCCCCATCTTACACACGTGCATGTGTCCGCGGCATTCTGAGTGTTATTATGGGACACATGGGCATGCGTCAAATGCGTTAATTTTTTTAACGCGATTAATGAAAACAATTAATTAACGTGCGTTAACGCGATAATTTTGACAGCCCTAGTATTTTTGTAATGAAAACCTGAAATCCTCTGTGAATGTGTATTAAGAATTTATATGTCTGTATCCTCCGATTAACATTTTATTGTGTTGATCGATAGGTATATGCGTTTATCGAGTGTGGCTAGCTCCGGAGTTGCCGGAACTACTTCCGGGTTTTTCGCGATCGCTTTTTCTCGAAAGTTTTTTTGTCATGAAAACGTTGATGGAAAATTCTGAAATCCTCCGTGCATGTGTATTAAGAATGTATATGTCTAGTGTATTCTCCGATTAACATTTAATTGTGTTGATTGATTGGTATTTGCGTTTATTGAGCGTGGCTAGCTCAGGAGTGGCCGGAACTACTTGCGGAGCAATCTACACACATGAATTACAAGCAGAGAGTGCGTTGCCATGGGCAGCGGTCATTATTGTTTTGAGAGGTCCGTTATAAGAAATAATGAGCAGTAGAACGTTTTGAAATTCCATTCAAATCAATGGAGCATTGTACTGCTGCTGTGAGGAGCCGTATAATGACCCATAATATTAAATAGAAAAAATGCCAAAAATCCTCATATGTTTTCTGTACATGTTGAGAAACATGGACTGCAAAAACGCTCTCGTCTCACCTGTTCTTCAGTCTTGAGGTCTCCAAATTCAGTCATAAAAGTGTGTTCAGAGGGGAATCTCTCTGGCTCCAAAAAGTTGAGTAAGCTGAAGAGCTCCTCCACAGTGTTCTGAAGGGGGGTTCCTGTCAACAACACTTTGTGCTCCTGTAGAGAGACAGGAACAGAAATATTTAGAGACCAAAAATGGAAATCAGGATGTGCAGAGGGACATGACCTTGCAAACCAGAGGAAAACAACGGGAGTGCTTGCCAAACATACAGAGGATATCAGTAAAGGAATCTTATTAGGTCAGAAACCTGCTGCGATGCAAATTTAACCTTTAGGACCATTTCTGGGATTTGATGTGAAACAGACAAAAGGTGAAGCCCTGAAACTTTAAAAAGAGCAACAACAATGACATGAAATATGAAGCCAGGATGCTATTTCGAATCCTGGATTCTGAAGCTCATATAGCCATTTTAACAATGTAGACTGACAATTGCATACATAAAATCTATCAGATAATGAAATTGTACCAGCAGAGCAACTACTATATACAATACTTGCAAAACTAATAACCGCAACTGTATATAAACATCACCAGCTAATTTTTTTTGGTCACAGCATGATTCAATTATGGTTTTAATGCACTGTTGACATGTGATTAACAAAGTTTGGTGAATAAAATAATAGGATGCAAACATTCAGATTTGCATACTTTTACAGTTAAGTTTCCATGGCTCGTTAACCATTAACTTTTTTCACAATGAACAAGCGTTGTATAGCTACTAAAACTAAGTCATCATATGCCCATAAATCTGCTCTCACAACAGCCCATCGCTACCACATTCAAAATACATACCGGTACATTGGCCGCACCACTGTATAGGTCACAGGAATCAAAGAAATTGGAAAAGTACTATACGGTACTCTCTTGTGTTTTGTTCCCCATCTTTTACTATATAGACCAAGAGTCTGACTAAAATGATGATTAAACTAGCACTCATGTGCTATAACTCAAAAAACTTGACTCACCATGTCCATCATTTTGAGCCCTTCCAATAGTTTACAATTTCGGTTCTTAAGGCGGTGGGCTTCGTCGATGACCACACAGCGCCATGGGATGTTGCGGAGCTCGGGGCAGTCGGTCAGGATCATCTCGAAAGTGGTGATTACAGCGTGAAACCGATACGCTCCCTTTATTATTTTTCCCTGGATCAAACAAACGTCAAATAAATCCTGTGTAAATCTAATTATAATGAAGGCAGTTATATTCATTAAGTTGATTAGTGAAGGATGAATAACACTTTTCTACTCTATATTGCATGTGTTTCCCTTTGATTGGCCTTTGATTCACACCAAATACACCTATATTTGTGTGCGTAAACTCCGCTGCCATCACTCAACAAATTTGGATGAGTGGAATGTGAGAGTGAGGAGTTAACGGCTGCAACCTGTTAAAGTACATTAAATTGTATAAAATGTGAAGACTATAATAATAATGCAATTCAAATCAAGAACAGAATATTTAAAATCTCCAGACTAGCAAGTAGGATCACTATGCTGGTGGGATGTAGGAGGGCTGTGAATAAAAGTGAAATTGCAATTCCCATTTACCTGTGCATCTCTAAAGTACATTTCGTAGGCCTGGATAGTCTTCCTGCTGGCCTGGCTGCCGTGGTAAACGATGGCGTTCAGTTCGGTCCAGGTCCTGAACTCACGCTCCCAGTTGGGGATGGTGGAGAGTGGTGCGATGACCAAGAACGGCCCCTGAATGTCCTTCAGGTAAATTTCATTGAGGAATGTAATGGACTGGATGGTTTTTCCAAGACCCATCTCATCAGCCAAGATACAGTTACGTCTGTGAAAACAAATTACTATATGTTTAAAGCATCAAAATATAATCAAAAGTTTAAAGTAATTGTCTGGAGTTTGTCAGAAAAAAGAGAGGTACATGATTTAAAAAAGAAAAAAACGACCCAAGCTCCCTCCCCCTTCCTTTCTGATTGGTCTACGCTTACGTTTCCGTAATACATTTAAATGTTAATCTGAGAACACATACTTAAACATTATTAATACACATGCACAGAGGTTTTCATCATTATTTGTTAACGTTTTCATGTCAAAAATTATTTTTTAATGCACGAAAAAAGCGATCGCGGTAAACCCGGAAGTAGCTATTAACGTTGATTGAACATTATACGACACATCTGCAGAGGATCTGATTATGGATATAAGTTCAGTATATAAATGATTATGGACATAGGTTCAGTATATAAATGATTATGGATATAGGTTCAGTTTATAAATGGGTAACTCAGCGCGGATGTTCAGAATTCTTTGTTCAGTTTTCATGACGTTCCAGAGCCTAATGGAGGCTTGATTTGGAGGCGCCGCAAAAACAAACAACTGAGGATGCGCCCAGCTACGAGCATCAGCGCGATGATTGACAGCCCTTGGCATCACTCGATTGGTTAACGTGGATGGCATCGTGGATTTTGAGCTATAGCTAAGAGAAGGGAAGGCGGGACTTACCCGTAATATTAGAATTCCTAAAATGACTTATTTAATATCAACATTTAAGGCCAGGAGGTCAATCTAATAAAATTTTTAACATTTTGTGTTTCATAAATTTTCCAAAGACGTTAGCCAGTTTCCACTTTCCTAATGTGGCTGGTGCAGACTTCCAAGATTAAAATTGAATAAAATTGACTTTCACGAATACCAAAGTCCAAATTAGACCCATTGCCAGAAAACAATCTGAGAAAACCATGACTTGAGACCTATTGATCTATTTTACTGCTATTCTAGTGCGATTAGTAAATTGAGCTCAGATGGCACCACTGGGCAAACTTAATGCCTACTATTCAGGACGGCCAGTTAATGTGCTTCTTAATGTCTACTTAGCACTATCAAACAGATGCCATGAGGAGTGCGGTGTGACAAAGGTGGTGCGAGGCCCATTCACACTTAATGAAGGGGGACTTACGAATTGTACCAGTTGAAGGTCAGCCAGTTGAGGCCTTCGAGCTGGTACTCCCTGAGCGCGTTGCTGTTCCTGTAGTCTCTCGAGCCCTCCAGCTTCTTCCAGTCTGCCGTGGGTGGCCGTTCCTTCAGATCAACAGAGTGGATTACCAGAAAGCAAAAGCTAGTTTCTTGATTTATACAATAATTGTATTCAATTTTTAAATTATATTGATATTTGTTTAGCAAGAAAATGACTCCATTTTTTTCTTTTACATTTTTTACAAACATACAAAAACCACACACAGGAAGGAAATTGTGACTTAAGATGGCATAACGCGGCGTTACGAAACCTGTGTTGTTTTCATTGAAAACAAACACATGGCACAATAACTGAAACTGATGTCAGTTGAGTGTATTATATAGAAAACGTTACAAAAATAAAGTCTTCTAATGTTGTCATTATCTTGATCAACAGGTGATATTGGATTATTTCTAATCAAACAACTCCAGGAACACTGATTGAAAAACATTGGTCCAAGCAATTGTTCCACATTTAATGGTACTCGTTTTACTCTAGCAGGTAGTCCTTAATATCATAGTGTATAAAATGTTTGTATATGAAATCCAAAATGGTAAAATTATTGTTTTTGTGCAATCAAATCCAGTGAGTCTTGTGTAGTTTTTTGACAAAGCATCGATAATATGCATTAGAAAACCCACCATCACCTGTGTGAAAGCATTATGTTCAAGCTTCTAGACACTTTTATAAATCATGAATTTCTGCTGTCTAAAAACAGATCACACAATTCTTTTTTTTTTTTTCAATTGAAACTGTGCATCCCTACTACCCAGCCCATTTTGGAGACAGTATCAATGCCACATTTTAAAAAAGGGCCTCGAATCGTGCCTTTGAAGAAGCACTTCTGACACAAGTCTTGAGGAGGAACAGTAGGCAGTACTTAAATAGATGGACACAGGGAGAAAAGAGTGATGCAGGCAGCGACCACAGCCAGTCAGCTGCTTCTGTGCAGCATTAAACACACTGTTAGTGGTTTGGCCCGGCCACGGGAGCAGGGCGTGTGTGTGTGCGAGGCTCAACTACCGCAAGAACGTGGCCCTGTGGAGAGCAGTTAAAGGAGCAGTAAATCTGGGGGAGGAAAGGCAGGCAGCAGGCCAAGACACACAAACACACACCTCCTGCCCCGTTCGGGACGTCCCAGAGACAGATAGCACCAAAGACACACGCGGGACTCACCACTCTTTTCGTGTTGGGCGTGCGTGCGGCGATTTGCTCATATTCCTCTATTTTGGATTGGTCGATGTCAGCCTTCAGCTCCCAAGTGGAGTCTTCGTAAGGCAAGCTGCACCACTTCACCAAATACAAGGTCACCAACTGCACGCATACACAAAAGGGCCATGGGCGTTTTTGCTTAGAGAATAACAGACAAGTTTAAAGCCATGAATGATGAGTGTGGGAGATCAAAGCACCTCTCCATTTTCGTCTGTGCTCTCTGAAACATCCAAGACACGGTCCACTTCCACATAGTCTGGGTTAAAAGGCTCATCATCCATCTACAAAAGCAAAAAAAGAGCACCTGTTACTGCTTTGAATGTCAAGACCATTTTTATGTGTTTCAAAATTTCATGTTTGGAGCATAAAACTAAATGAAAAGAACAGGAGTTCTTCTGTGCGAGTTACATCTCCTCAGGAGTGTGTGGGTCAGTTTCCTGGGGAGAGTGTAATTGTAAGTACCTCTGTTATGAAGTTGTTGAGTTGCTGCTTGGCCCTAAACCTCTTGACCTTCTGTTGTATCCTTTTGTCCTTTTCTAGCTCTTCCAGGTCAGCCCAGCGACAGTGGAGGTACGAACTAGGACACAAAGGACACAGCCCGAATTAAAAAAATGTTAATTTTGTTTTTAATACATTATTCCCAATAATATTACATCACAAATCTGTACCAGGCTCTGAGATATCATTGTTATTTAAATCCCATAAGGTCAGTGAATATGGAATTTTTGAACATTTGATCAAAACAAAGCTCAAGTGATGTCCCTGGAGATCATCTTCAAAGAGACGTCTTATTATACGTGATCAATCAAACTTTAAACTGTAAAACGAGCTTCTGGACATTTTTGACTTTACTTCTACCTTACCATTTGTATGTTGGATGTAATGTGCAACGGTCATTTCAAAATTCAGACACATAGTATTTCCTGCATGTATACGTTATGATTTAGAACAGGTTATTTATAAGCTAGCAGTAAAAAATAAAACTTCATGACTGCCCAGTGGGGGAAAAAAAAAGGCTCGAGCTTTTCACACGTCTGGACTTACTGCCACAGTAGTGCACACTGAAAATGGGGCAAATGGGGAAAGAAAAGAGTGCAAGCTGTGAAAGACAAAAAAGCTAGGGAAAAAAGGTGTTACTCACAAGCCCTTGAACTTGACGTAGAACTCCTCCACTTCCACTTCCTCCCCGGATTCAAGCTGAGAGGGAAAGAAAATAGTTAATCGAAGCAGATATGGCAGGAGAGATGAAAGAGCGGAGTGGAGTTTTGTTACACATGAGGTGGAGTTGATTTCTCCACAAGAGCCTGTAATTCAGCTGCGACATGTAGCAAGTCCTCCATTTCACTGTTGTATTCACACGTCAATCTCCCAGACACTATTCGGGCGCATTTGTTTTGATTTGTTAGAATGTGGCAACTGCAGGTGCTGGATCAAAATGTGTCAAAAGCATTGTGGCAACTACATAACGAGACAACTATGTTGTATTTTGTGCATTATTTTGTTTTGGGGGGAAAGGCATTTGGCTATGATTCAGTGTTTTGATCAAAAATACAGCCTGCGCCTACAAACAGCCTTGCTGTTATATCATTGTATGAATCAAAATTGTATGAAAAAGAAAATCTAAAACGTATAGTATATCCCTAAAGCACTGAACTGTTAGTGGTTAATTTTCTGCATCTCAACTTTTAGGGTGCGTTCACAATAGTTGGTCTGGCAGTGATTCACTTTACTTTTGGATATAAAAATCAAACAAGTCGGTTTACATGTTATGAAACAAATTTGAAGATTTTTTAACCAGACTTTGTACAATTAAAGTAACCAGACCAACTAGGGTGAACGTGCCCTTAAAGAAACTGACTAAACATAGTCATCTTAATTAAAGATTTTCCTGAATTGGATTCTGCAGATTACTTCAGCTGAACCACTCACTTGTTCACACCTTCCATTAACCATTCCTCCTTCTAACTTGCATACATACCACTGCTGCTGCTGCTGCTACTACTACTACTACTGTAATGCCATGAATCATCAATCACACACAGAGCCTGAGGAAACGCTAGCTTGGCGTCTGGCGTAGCTAACGTTGTGGTTTTGGCCCAGTTCCAGGCCCGAGGTCAGGCCTGAATGGAGCTGTGAGAGGCTGTGAGAGGTGGTGGGGGAGTGAGCCATCGGCAGCTGGCTTTAGAGAAGGAAAAGTTGGCCGGTGACTATGTGCACACGAGTTGGCTCCAGGACGGGCTTTTTTCCTTTTCTTTCTTAGAGCGACTCATTGAAAACAAAGCCCAGACGGACATACAGAAGCAGTCAATGAGCGGCAGACACAGCTCCAGGCGCACACACTTGAAATACTAGAAGTCTTGTCTCTGCTTTCCCAGTGAATACACACTGTCTGCACTGCACTGTGTAATCTGCTTAGACCAGCTGTGGAGCGGCTAATCACATGACGTAAACCGACTTGTCCTGCACTGGCTTGAACTGATGTATGTGGAGAGGTGTGCAAGGGAGTTGTGTGGGAATGGGGGGGTCTCACCTGTTTCTTGGAAATGCGTACGCTCATGATCTTCTCCACAACAGGGCCCTCTGCCTCAGCAAAGTCCTTGGAAATAAAAGCAGTCAAGTTAGGCCCTCAGCCACAAGTCACCGCCCGTTTGTATACATTACACTTCTTTCCTATACTAAACAGACCCTGAGGCACATTCTTAAGGCTGTGGTTAATCCATCTATAATTCAATCAGAAATAGGGTTAGGGTTATGTCTGTATCAAGCAACGTTTTTGAGCTTCTTCTTGGGTTATTACAGTAAAAACAAGCCCACAGAAAAAAAAAAAAAATTGTGCTAGATCCGGATACTCTCAGGCTCTGTGCTGTACATGCCAATAAAAAGGCAGCTCCATTTCTGAATCGATTCTGCTTACAACATATGAGTTTAGATATGTTGCCAATAGAGAGAGGCATACAAATGAATCCTGGTAAAATCATAACCTTCTTGGCAGAGGTATTGAGATGCAGGGAATGCACAGGTGCCTACTAGACTGTAAAGGCTATTTGTAGGATCTCCGTCTCGAATCAAGTCTCTAATATCTTCATTGAACTGAAAATATGACTAGAAAAGCGCACACCTTTGCTAAAAAGGAGAAGTTCCATTCCGTGCAAAAAATTCTGGATCCAGACAGTAAGTCGGCCCACTTCCATAACGTTATCTTTTGTTCCTTGTCCAATTCTTGAGGAATGTTGCTTAACAGAGATAAACAAACCCAATTGAAATTTTAACCTTGGTGAAGGTAAACATTTACCAATTTTGATGAGGAAATAATTTAACAAAAAGTAAAATCAAAATCACAAGGCTCACTTGACTCAAAAGACCAACTGCCAACCTGTAGTGTTCCATTGGCCGATATGTGTAGCCTCGTTGTAAAGGGCTGATTGCTGCCTATAGTGCTCAATTACACACCATTATTCCTGCTGATGTAAGTACTATCATTTCAAGCTGCATTAGACCACACCTTAATCAAAATTACAGTCACTATGTGGACAATAATATCATCCAGTGAGGCACCTTCTCGAGTGATGAATTCAATAAAAACGTACCTGCTGTTGGGATGCGGATGAAGGGGATTTAGGAGCAGGGGAATCGTCCCCACTGTCTGCATCGTCTGTGATCCTGAACTCTAGATCTTCTGTGTACCGCTTCCTCTTAACCTGTCGACATGATCGGCGTTTCTAAAAAAAAAGAAAAAAAAAAAAGAATACATTAATTAACATAACATAGTAGGTTTAATGTGCGGAATTGTGCCAAGAGGGCCGTAGTATGCATGCATTTGAGGTGAAAATGGCATGGACTTTTAAAACAGAAAATATTCTATCTGTGTTTCAGTGTATCATATTGTCAATGAGTCTCAGTGATAGACATAATGCTGTTCCATTTCAGTTTCACCACAATGCTTACTGCTGTGGTGTTGTTCAATTAAACTAAAAGGCGATCTGTGGCTTGAGAATAGTTGATGATGGAACAGTGAATTTGGCTAAGATTGTTTGCTTGGGTTGTCAACAGAACTTCACAGCCTAACCCGCAGATGTCTTTACCGAGGGAATTTAATGTATTGGGGGACACAGATCACTTATTCATACCTTGGTCATGTTAGGCTTAGAGAAAAAATGCCTTTTAAAACAGTATTTGTTTGTGATATGCACAAACATGTTCGTGATATAGCTTAAATTCTTCCCACTCCTTTTTGAGCTTTGACAGGAGTGAAAAAAATTGGAAATCCTTAAATGTATCAATGTTTCTATCACGTATAAATTCTATAAAGGATTCCTGTTTATAAGATTGAAATAAATCCAATCAATCAATCTTGGGGAATCAGCCAAGATAAAAAAAAATAAAAAAAATGAATCAAGTCTACAACTAAAATTGTGCAGTTAGAAGAAGGGGTATAAACAATAATTGCTACAAATTTGTTTTTAGCAGCAATAGAATACGAACAGATTATATAACTGGCAAAAGAACTGAATTGTAAGTGGTCATACGATTGCAAAGCCTTATCACCACAGGTGAATGGCATATATACAGGGTTAGTGCTCATACAGCGCTGGACAGAATGCAACATTTTTGCAGCTACCTTTTCCCCATTTTTCTTGTTCCAACTATTATTCTTAATCGTAAGTCATCTTTATTAATATACCGAATTTCACAGACCAGAGTCACAAAGCCCTTTACATTTTTATATTTATGATCTTACCTGCACACCGTCATCATCTTCCTCCTCCTCTACAGGTGATGGTGGCGGAGACTTTACTTCTACCTCCTCAAAGCTTATGGACTCCCTCTTCTTTTTAGATTCCTTCTTAGTAGCACAGGCCCCTCCTTCAGCCTCCACTTTCTTGGTGCTGCAAGGGGAAAAACAAAAAGATTTAAATCTGATAGTCTTCTGAAAGTACACAGCTCTTTCCTCTCATTGGGAGACGCGTGCATGTGTATGTGCGCGCCTGCCTTTCTGTCCCAGGGCGGCCGCCATGTTTGATTTACCCATTTAGAAGTCATTAGTGTGCCTGAGGCTTTGGCGCACAGGGGGTTAATATGATGAAAGGCAGAGAGGGGGCGGGAGCAGTGAGATGGAGTGATATAAGAGGAGAGCGGAAGAGCGTCAGGAGACACTAAAAAACAGAAGAGGGCCTGGAGAGCAGCATGCGAGGAGGGGGAGAGGTTCTGTGTGGGCCCCAAGGCTTCCTCTAATCTCTGGCAGTGAGAAAGAGCGGAGCAGGGTCTGCTCACTGCCTGATTCACACACATAAACGCACACTGAAGCTAAGAACAATGATGCTAACTTCACTGAACAGAAGCAGAAGAGATTTCATATACACGGAAATGAAATCTTAAAATGTCACAACTAAACAAATGTGACAAGACGTTTGGGAAGTTTCTCAATCCAGATAAGGATCCTCACCAGCCATTATTTTTGATAGATGTAACCGTGCGACAGATTCACACACACACGTCCCCAGCGTGCACACCTCCCCTGGCTCAAGTTTGTGTGGGTTAAGCTGGTCAATCTCTTTCAGAGGAAGTTTACACCATAGACAGCCTATAGATGGACAATGCTAAACAATGCTGCACTTGAACGTGGACCTTGCATGTCTGAAAAACCAGTCAATTTCAATCAGCACTTACACGTTCATTGGGAGCTCATAACCTCTGTATAATGAACAGCAGCAAAGGTGAGTTGCAAACTGAACATAGTATTGCTGCAATAACATTTCCGAACAACCATATGTATAAACCAGTCAAAAAACAAATATATTTCTTTTTTGGCGCCACATTTACGCTGAAACCTGGGACATTTTCTGAGTTCTGACAGGGGATAAGGGTTTGTCTACATATTTTATCCCATGTTTTTGCTGAGCACTTTCGTGTTACCTTAATATAAACAAAGTTTCTACATTTTTAAGTTTCTCTGATTTTTGCAAGCAACACAAAAAAATAATACTGACAAAGAGCTCAAACCCATTAACACAAGTGTGTAAAGGAGCAAATATTGTGATGAATAATCTTTCCTCTACATCGTCTGTAAGAGAGATTGAATGGTCTAATACAGATAGAAGTGCCAATACTAGTTTTAGTATTATTTAATAGTATCAATGCATTTACTTTGTATTGTTCCTAGAATAATTAGCTTTATATCACTCAAAGCTGGATACAAACAACATGCAGTAATCATCTGACCAGAGAGCCAAGTGCAGGTCAGCCCCCACCATAAACAACACTACAAACATGACATTATCCTATATTGAAGATCTAGAATGATAGGGAGTGAGGTTTTCTTGGAGTTGCCCAGATAGTAAACGTACACATCCAGGTTTAGTGCGGTCATGTTTATGTCCTTGTGCCTCCATGGCCTGCACTCCTCTTATGCCTCCGTCGCTCTCTCTCTTCGTTCCCTCCTCTCTCGCCCCCTCTTCGTCCCTGGGGCCCTTCTCCTTTCATCCTCACGCCAAGAGCAATCACCATCTCCCTGGTAACGGCTGGTCATGTGACCTGCACCTGTTCCTCTGGCTGGTCGCCACACGCTGGAGCCATCTGGCCACACACACACACATACACGCATACGCACGTCAAACACAAACACACACGTCTCCACTTGGCTGCCTTCTCTCTTCCTCCTGGCTTCTTCACGGCCTCGCTCATTTTTGCTGTCGCTCCATCATCAACTCATGCACTCAGACATCTTTTACAAGTAGTCCCTTTGGCTTTGAAAAAAATGAATTCTAGCCAACTTCATAAAATCATATGGCAAGTTATATACACATACTTGCATTCATAATTCTGCCTTTCAATGTGAAAATCATACAAAATTAAATATAAACCGTAACAGAATTATCAATGAAGATTTCCTCTAAGAAAATCAATGCATCTTTATAAATCTATAACTAATATCAATTCCAGATTCCCAGTATTGATATTGGACCTGTTAACCACATATTAGTAAAATTGTTATAGATGGTCATACTAAAACCAATTCCACAATTTGCCTACTGTAAGTCATATAAAAAGGTTGGGGGAAACCTTTGGATTAGATTCAGACTTTTGCATATGTGTGCTTTAAAAAAGGAAATTGAACTGATTTAACCAGGTGTCACCTTTACACTCATGAGCTTGCCATTCAAACTATTGTCCTGGGACCTCATGCTGGCACGCACACATGCGGGCCAGCTGAGGAGATGCTCTTTTCAACCACAACCAACTGACTGAGGATGCAGGAAGTAGGCACAGGGAGGGGCAAGTTACTCCAGTGAATGGGACAGAAAAATCAGGGACAGGGTGGGGTTGGTACGAGACACCTGCTGCCATGATGAGTCATCCTTCTGAACCTCAAACAAATTTGGCCTCAACACAACACCGTGACAAAAAAGGCTGCACTTGCACCATCTTCCAAAGTACAGAAATTTTTTAACAAAGCTTGTCAGACTGCGTTGCAAACAAATCAGCCCTACGCACACACTATGAAGGAAGGGTGTGGCAAAAAAGAGCTATATATAGATTCAGTTCTACACACGAAAGGTGGACTGAGAACTACCAAGAGCAAAAGAAAGAGGGATGGAGGTAGTCAGAAGAGAAGAAGGGGAGGAGAGAAGGTCAAAAGATTGCAGTGAGCTGACTGGACATTTACATGGGGATTGGAGTGTTTTTATAATTCAGCTACACCGCAAACTACTCAAAGATTAAACTGCAAGATGAAAGAATTTACAGGACATGAAACAAATACATAATACATAGAGTATTGCTGAGAAAATGTACCTCTTTGCAGTGTACAGAGTAAAAAATGCGACAATGCTGATGGCATGGTGTTCTCAGACAGCCATCCATTTTCTTTTTCAGTCTAAGCGGAGACATCCAGACTTCCCTTTCCACACTTTCTCCAGCTCCTTCAGTAGAGTACCGAGGTGTTCCCAGGCCAATTGAGAGACATGGCCCCTCCAGCGTGTCCTGGGTCTTCCTGTTTTCACCAGGTAGGACAAACCTAGAACCCCTCCAGGGATGTATCCAACAGGCAACCCAAACCACCTGAACTGGATTCTCTTGACAAGGATTAGCAGCAGTTCTACTAAGAGGAAGTGCCAAGAAACTCATTTTGACCACTTGTATTCGCAATCTTGTCCTTTCAGTCATAACCCAAAGCTCATGACTATAGAACATATTGATCTGTAAAATAGAGAGCTTTGCCTTTCAACGTTTCTCCGTCTTCACCACAACAGTCCAATACAGCACTTCATCCGTAACAGAAAGGAGAACACCAGACTTAATCAATTTCCTCAAGTCCAGTCTAGAGCTGAACGTGTTACTCCAAATTAGAGTCTGGTGCGCACCTGCTTGGTTTGAATGAAAACCTGCAGCCACTCGAACTCTGGAACCACTGACACCAACACTTTTAAGGCCTTACATTTTTCTACATTCAACGTAATACAAGACCCTCTCTGGCTACAAAAACAATCTACCTGCTACCGCAAATTATGAGACTTGAGAATGCAAGGAACTTTAGATGATTGTTCATAGTAAAGTCTAAAGTTCCACTAAGACAAATAATTTTTTTAAAACCCACAAAATATTTGGATAAAATGTTGACTTAAGAAATGAAAAATTATATTTCCAAATCAATTTGTTGATGTTTCTCATAAACGTCAACAAATGAAACCCACATAAAACTGGTTATAATTGTAAACAGCAGAATTAAGGGTTTGAGGCAACTTCTTGATCAAACCAGTGCTGTGGTGGTTTATTTGTTCATAGAGAGACAAACAGAGCAAAGGAAACAGTCTGTAGTCTGGTGTGGCCCACATAAAAGCTCTCAGTGCCTGTTGCAGCTGGGAGGCCGGGCTTCTACTCCTACAAGAGGAAATCTTTCACAAATCCCCCAAAATACAATAAAACTGGTGCCCTACTTCCCACGTGGTTTTGAAGCTAGTGAAAAGTCTTAGCGAGCAACCCGCAACACTAAAGGCTACGCAAAGAGGTCCTTGTGCCTGCAGCCTTAAATCAGAGAGGGAGGAGGAGTGGGGAGGAGGGAAGATGAAAGGATATACTTCTCTCCAGGAGAAACACATGGAATTAGAGGAAGGGAAACTTGAAAACAAGGAGAAAAAATCCCAAGTGATTGCAGTGGTCCACCATTTTAGAAAAGCATTGAATGACCAGCAGACATTATTATGCTAAATTAACCTGGGAGCCCGCCACTCAAGATGGAGGCAGCCCTGACAACAGATAAGGGGCTAGTTTACCAACACACACACAAACACTGGGCCGGCCCCCACCCCCACATTAGCTGAAGCAGACTTGTGGCTGCTCAGTGGTCAAGCAGCACGGCCCTCATTATCATTAGACGCCATTTTCTGCCACAAGATTACTACCAAAGCCCCTCCCCCTCAACATGTACAAAATAGACCCTTCACCCACGCTTTAAGATCTGCCCCTTGCTCACTCCCTCCCCCCCTCCCCTCGGCCATCTCTCCACACACAGCCGCTCATCCAGCAGTGGCCGGCAAGAACAGGGGGCCAGCGCACACACCTCCCCCTGCACTGACCCTTGCCGGCTGCTTGGGGCCACCAGTTCTCCGGGATAAAAGGAGGGGAAAGAAAGGGGGAGGCTGGGAGTTGTTGATGGGGGGACGTCCCGGTACATTCCACAGCCCGATCAAGTTTCCACCTTCAACAATGAGAGCACCTCTGACACCCAGTGCCACTCAGCGATAGGCTGCATTCAGAGCCTGCGTGTTTTTATCTTCTAAATGGGGGACGCTGCTGGTGCAGATACAAGATCTAAGTGCATTCTGTTCCCAGTAGAGCTGTCAAAAGAAGAAATCTACATACCTGGCTTTAATCTTTTTTTCCATAAGAA